TGAATGAACTAGCATCCCTAAACTGCCTCTGATGTATGCAATTTTTACTTTTTGAATGCCTGGGGTAAAAAGCTAATAAAAAAACAGTGTATCAACTGTCTACTAAGAAGCTGTTCCTTGAGCAGCATCAGGAATGACAATGAGTTGGCTGTGTTTTTGGCAGAAATAGTGCAGCATTGCCTTTTGCTGTCTAACATGTAGGATCCTACTCTAGGAGGACTGTGATTTTCAGCTATAAATGTAAACAATATCTTTTCCTGGTCAGTATCTTGGGTTTTTAATACCATGTGATTCTTATATTGTTGTTATCCAGTTGTGGTGTACTGTACTTGCAGATCAAGCATGGTACAGAGGTGTCTGTATTCAGGAACAGCATTATTAGCTTAGTGCTCATTTGTACTTCCCAGGGTCTCTTCCAAAAGGAAACAGCATAATGTAAGAAATTCATTCTTGTAAAAGAGGGAAAAAAAAAAAAAAGCGCCCTTTTGAAATACAGCAGCTGTTTGGCTTTTCAGGGATCATTCAGCTTTCAACATCTTATTTTATTATGCCACCATTCTGCTTCTCAATCAGCTTTTAAAAGTGCTCAGTAATCCTTGTCTTGGACTCCCTCTAGTGAAGAAATGTATGAAACTGTATCTGCTACCTCCTTTTGCATAAATTACAAAAGGACTCAGAGCTTCACTTCTTTGCAAAATGTCACCATACATAAAATTTTTCTTAATCAAGATACACTTACAAAATGGAAAAGTCTAAGGAAGCTGGATATGGCATCATATCCTGTGGATCTCCCCAAGAGACATGTTGCCACAGCTGTTCTGACCTCCTGAAATGGCTGACACCTGGCTTTGAAGGCAAAATCTGTAAGCAAAAAGAAAGCAACCTATAGCAAAATCTGTTACTAAACCTGTGGGGGCTTCACGTTCTCTGGGATTTGTCTTGAATTTGAACAAGTCGGGGAAGTGTGTGGTGGTGTCAAGAGTTTGTAGTCCTCTTGCAGTAGCATTTTAATTAGTCGGGTTTTTATTTTTATGAATATAGAAAATTGTGCATTCAAGTACCTAATTAGTGAATAGCTATCGCAGTGAGGAAGCTGGTGCCGGGGAATAACACAAGTTACTTTGATCTTTTTATAAACGCCTTTTTGCATCTTTCCAGAAAGCAAGAAGTAGAAGGTAAATGGGAAGGGCCTCTAAGCAGAAATACAAAGCTGTGCATATAGACAAGATCTAAACCTGCTTCTTTCCCACGTGCTGAAAATAAAACATTAGACATGTGTCAATGTGCTGAGTTTCAGTTTAATCCAGTTAAAAACTAATCTATACAAAGTATGGAGTGGGGCTTTTTTTTTTCTCTATATATATATTGCACTGGAGGATATGAATTTGTACAACATTAACCAAATCTTACCCCTTCATCCTCCTACTGAAATCCCAGCCAAGTACAAAACCAAATCTCTGCATTTTTGTCTTTGAACTGGCATCTGTATGAAGTTACATTCAGTTTTCTTGTAATCACCTCCTAAATGAAAAGTAGAGTACAGGTGAAAGCACTGGTGCCCATGATATTCCAGTCTCTTATTTATCTGTGATTATAGCTTTTTATTTCCACACTTAGCTGTAAGCTTAGTTTAGGTTTGGGTTTTTTTTCAACTTTAAGAAGCTCCTGAGAAATCGGTACCATGGCAGAAACGTGCTTTTAGTGGCTAATACTTTCAGTCTCTTATGGAAGAGAACCCAATTAAAAGAAGACATCAGCATCAAAAACAACAAACACATTAAAAAGCAACAAATCTGCTAAACATTTTGTGTGTAAGCATGATTTCAGCACACTGCATAACCTCTAAGGCAGATGTTCCTCACAATAAGATAACTTATTTAAACCACGCTTCAGAACTGATCCACAAAAATAGTTTGCTGACTTTATTACACTCAGATGGAGATCTCTTCTAGCCTGAGTCTGAAGAACAATACCCTTCCTCTACAAAGGAGGACGTGATGGACAGCATTAGGTGAACATAGGTCTGGTCTATCAACACACAAACAGACCATCTTTTGAAAGAACATCTACTCGGTCCTTGCTATCTTTGTGGACATGTGAAACAAATACATGTGCATATGAGATTTTGAATTAGGTGGATGAGCATGAAGTTGTAATTTGGGCTCTCAACTCAAAAACATTTAGGCAACAATCTTAATATGTGTTCAGTTGGAGTTCAATAATTTAAGCGCTACTGAGGACTGAGTCTCTGACTTCCACATAATTTAGGGCAAAAAATCGTTAGTTTGACTAAACCTTGATTATTGTTATGTCTATAAATCTGATCACTAATTCTAAGGTTTAAAAAACTGCCTGTTTTCGCTTGTAAAAAATGAACAGAAAGTCTGTAGTATATTGCTAAACTGCAAGCCTACTAATTAAATTAACACTGACAAGAACAACATTTAGGTATCGGATAGCAACTGAAGGAAAGATGCACACTGTTTTATGCTGAACACACCTCAGTGACTAGTTGAAATGCAAAACAAGAAACTTGTGCTAATGCTAATTCATGATGAAACAAGTGAAAACTCAGGCTTCTAACAAGCGGCTGTCTGAGTCACCACTGACACTCACTACACCGTGCCGAGTAGAAGCCAAGTTCAGAACCCAAGTTACAACAATTCTTTACAAAACTCTGGATGTTTCAAAGTAAGGGAGATGTAATGCCCATCTCCAATAGCAGGGAGAGTCAGGATCTTGCAATCAAAGTGTGAGCGGCTGCACTGAAACCAAAGCTTGAACATTACATTACAGAGCACGTCATTACATACAATGGCATTTGTAAGGAGGCAGATGAAGCATGAAGGAATGATTTGTATGGTAGAAATGCCTTCACACCAAAGGTTTCAGTCTTTGATTTTCTACAAGCATCTATGGCTATATCACTTGTTCTCTGTAAACTTTCATTTGGGATGGGGAGAACAGAAAAAAAATTTCCCCTCACCTTTTCCATGGCATTTGAATAATTCCTCCTTTGTTTCCCTCCTTGCTCTGTTACCCATCATCAGGCTACAACCCCAAAGCCAGGGCTGTGCACTGAGAAACTCCTTAAGTCTAGATATGGCTGTAACTATGTCTGGGCCTCTTAGCAAACAGATGAAGTTGTTGAAAGGTATTTTAGTCTCCTGACAAAGACATACTCAAACACATGTTAGTACTGCATGGAAATGACTAACAATGGAGACACTGGTTTTTAAAATGTTAACCAGTTTTGTAGAGAACAAAACAAAAAAGGTAAAAGAAGTCTGATTGTTTGAGTGGTATAAACAAAGGAAATGTGACATGACAATGAACAGGATGAAACAGAGAAGGAAACTCTAACAGAGTTCTAATAGAACTCACTCTGTCAGTGAGTTCTATTATATTGTGTGGAGAACAAGAATATGCTCAGGCCTGATGAAAGAAGCCTTAACCATGGAAGGAATATGCCTAGCTTCTATTAATCAATGTTTTTCACAGTGAGAAACTCCCCCAATGTCAATACCAAATGTTAGTAATTGCGTTCTGTCTTTTTTGAGTTTGCCTAAAATATTTAAATCTTATTCTGAAAGAAACACCTTTTTATAACAGAAACTTGCCTCTGTTTCTTTGCTTTAAACTCGAATGATCTCCTTTAATGACACTGTCAGCAGTTAGCCACAAAACAGGAAGGAAATGCAAAGGGTGCTTGCCAAGGTGTGTGTGTACATATCAGTTTAAAGCCAGCATTAGACGATTAGAACAATCCATGTTTTAAAAAAACAACAAAAAAATCCAAGCAAACAAAAAAAACCCCAAACAAGGTTTACACTTTAGAATACTTTCAGTCTGAAATGAATGACAAGCAAGGACAATCACACAACTTTTCAACATTATAGTAAAACCCACAGGAAAATCAACTTATTCTTGTAAAATCTTGGCTTACAATATTGGAGACCTATCCTGGCTCAATACCAAAATAACATAATGAAGTAGCACCCCTATTTTAGGACATTTCATAAACTTACACCAACTGCTGAAAGACTAATATGAGTTAATAGTTAGACTCTTAACAAGTCAAAGATTCATGTCTGAGAAGAGCTTTCTGAAACACATGGTGCACTTTGAAAAATCTGGTATTATCATAAGAGGTAGGATAATTGGTACAGAAAAAGACAATGAGCCTTGTTCTGTTTTGCACAATATTTCCATCAAAATAAAAAGCTTACTTAATAACATGCAAAATTTTGAGATCAGCTGGCACCTGATGAAAGAAACAGGGACAAAAGTACTGTCCCAAGAGCCAACTGAGTATTCAGCTGCTACAGAGAATTAATATCAACAAGGAGGACGGTTCAGATCAATACACCAGAAGTACAGTATTCCTTTTGAAGGCTTACAGTGAAATTCTTAGGCTTCTGTAAACATGAAAAGTATTCACCGTTCCACATAATTCTTTGCTGTGTTTAGATTTTTAAAAGTGCAACTTTTCTGTGATTAAGGATTAGAAGCTCGATTTTTATTTGGTCTCAAAGAAGAAAGGGTTTGGTAGTGCTGGAAATGGTAGGCCTTTATCTGTGGTCTTTGTTTCCCCATATTCTGCTTCTCAGCATTTCTGGAAAGAGTTTCTACACAAGACTAGACCTAACTTGACATTCAGGCCAGTTCTTTGCTTCCTCTCTGAGAAGATTCAGATTTGTGCCTAAACACAGAACACCAGACATCTCCTCCCTTTTTGTAAGAGAAAAGAGTTCAACAGCTCAGTCCCCTGGCCATAAAAATGTTTAGTTTTAATAGGTTCCTTAATTCCCTCCTCCATTATAGCCTCTAAATGATGCCCTTGTTGTGTTACTCACTGATGCACTGGAGAGAAAACTAGTTTAACTCATTATTCAAATCTGATTGATACTTCATCTCTAACATTCCAAATGATTTTACAGTCTGGGGAAGAAAATAGAGAGTTCATGTTTCACTCTGATTTCCTGCCCACCCCCTGCTCCCTCCCGCCCCCCCAAATAATAAAGATGCTATAAAGTTGAGGCACAAGTGGTTAAGGGTGAACTTGATCAGTTTTAGCAGCAGCTGGGTCTTGGATGTGTCCTGGTGGTAAAGGCTGATCACCTCCCACGGGAGGTTTTGGTGCATCTCCAACTTTCTGTTCCCCAGCTGTAAAACAATAATAAAACAATTTGTAACTTCTCAATTAAATTGGCCCCAAATGTGAAAAGTCTCTAAAGGAAAGTTTCTAATTTAGGGACAAACAAATAACACCTTCTAGTTCTTGGCTTGTAAGTGGAATCAAGAATTTTGTATGTGACTAACAATGAAATCAGATTGAGATTACTCACTAGGCTGCATTGTTATAATACTCAGTTTCCTCTAAATTACTAGTTGTTTCTGTTTTCTGTGAAATGCTTTTGCGTATATAGCACATTGGTTCTTTGGATATTGTTCTTTCTGAAATTTATTATGTGTTTATGAAAACTTTAATCCCCATATTGTAAGCTTGGAAAAAAAAAAATTACAATTTGTTCCTTTATTTTACTTCTCACTGTGTCGACAATACTTACAACATTTTCCCTTTGCCTACCTTTGAATAATACTGATTTGCATAGTTTACTAAAGATTTAAGAAATTGCAGCTACATTTTTTTTTTCCTTAAATTACCCTTAGTAGCTCCAGTAGTTTACAGATTAGAAATATCGTCTACTTAGATCTCCTTAACTCAATGAATGAGTAGTAACTAGTTCTGGCTAATATAATGAATATAATCACACCTGATTAAACTTTGCAGAAAGTTTTTACATTAAATAATATATGTGTATTTGCTACAATATTACCAGTATCAAAAGATGTATTATTAGCCCAACTCCCAGGGCACCTGCTATTACACATGATGTTTTTATTCAAGGTGAGGGGAAGTGAGGCTCTCGGAACTCAGGATCATAAAATGAAATTACCCACAGGCAGTTTTGAAGCAAATGAAAGACAAAATTAAATTGGTACTGAAATGTCATTATTTCTCTTAACAGACCTGAGTGTCTTAGGGATAGAATTTCAGGGAACTCAACAAAGTGAGCTGTAATCACCAAATACAGCATTTAAGGTTTGAAATCCCACTGGCCCTGCAGGAGCAGTTAAGAGCTTCCAGAGTTCAAAAGGCTGCCTGGATGTGGTCCGAAGCCTTATGTTTGAGATGAATGTTCAGAAGTTCTTGACCTCTACTGATAATGTTAGGACATGAACATGGAAGCCAATAAAGCTGTATTAGTTTCAACCTTCCTAGAGCAGGAGAAAAAGCTACATTAGGATGTATGGGAGAGCAGAGCCCCTTTAAAGCACAAAAGAAACACGGACAATGTATCTTTTTCTGAGGTGTTCATACCGTCTAAAACTAACTTGTCACATTGTACCCAACTGCCAGTAAATTGTGGTCACAGAGGACAGACTTGCTAAAAGCATTTAAATGCTTTGTTCTGCAGTCTGAGATTGGTAATGCAGCCGTAGAATGTCAGACAGACTTGGTCATTTGTATGTCTCAGTTCTTCTCTGGATGGTCAGAAGTCCTAGATATCCTAGATACCAGTATTTTTAGACTGATAGGCACAACACAATCCTCCTTCTCTGCCCATGTGATGCCTTCAGTTAGAACTCTGTTTTTTTTTTTTTTACTAGGGACTTCAAAGCACTGAGATTTCAGGAATACTTTAGAAGAGTTCCACACTTTCCTTTTTAAGAGAGTTTAGTGAACCTCTCCACAGAGATCATGAAAACCACATTATATTAACAACATCAGTGGAAAATATAGTTTTAATTACTTTTACATTGGAGATGTTAAAGTTTGCGTATCTACACAGAAAGATACATACGGGGTTGGAATTTCAGTTCTCCAGCTGGTCCTGCAGGAGGATTTCCTTGCTGCAGTTTCTTTTGTTCCATCTGTTTTACAACCTGGTGAAAAATAAAAGCATCATTGAAAGACTTAAATCTGTCAACTTTCTTTGATATGACATAAATGAATACACTTAAAACAAATTTTGAAGTCATTACGTAAAGTCTTTGTTAATGGTTATACTACTGAGTTGAGATGCTTGCATTGTTTGTTATAATCCTGAATACTAGATTATGTTTTGCTGTGGTGCCATTAGTTTAGAATTCAGCTGGGACTCATATGAGAAATCAGGGTAAAGAATGCTCCAGAGCTGGGGACTGTCATGAGCTGTTACATATAAAAGGATACAGAAAAGGAAGAAAAAAAATCTGTTCTCATAAGTGTACCTGCTGAAGCTCCTGTTTCTGAGCCTGAAGCTGGTCATGCTGCCTCTGTAGCTCTTCCTTCTGCTTCTGAAGATCTTCTGCCTTCTTTCTAAGTTCATCTTCC